TATATATATATTTAATTAATTAACTATTATTATTATTATTTTTTTTTTTTGTGAATTCTCCAAAAATCTTGGTATGAATGAGAGACAAATTTTAAGATTTTATTTTTGTATTTTTGCTTAAAAAATAATACTTTGGAGACTTTTAAGTCATTAAAAATTTGAATACCTAAAACTTATAGTCTTGTAAAAAATTTGAATTAAATATATCGTGACTTTTAAAAAAAATTTAGAAGTCTATAAAATTTTTTGATTGAATACACCAATATTTTTAGAAAGTCTCAAAAAATCTATATTTAATACTCTAAAGCTTTTTAAATCTCAATTTTTTTTTTTTTAAAGTATCAATTGCATACACCCCTTTAAGTGTAACAAAAATGGAAAAATTACCCAAAATTCTAAATATAAAAGGTTATTACTCATAAATGAGATGGATTAGTTATAATTTCATTTATCAAGTGTTAATTATATTTTTTTAAAATAAATATACCCATCCCAACTACTTTATATAGATTTTGCTACTTGGTACATGACTGGTTACTGAAAATAATGTGGAGGAAGATATTGAATGAAAAAGTTATTGTTTTTTAAAATGACAAATGATAGAGTGTCATATAGATATAATGTAATTTATTATATATGTCTTGATATACATGTAACAAGATTCAATTTATACTTATAACTTGTACAAATATACGCATTATAGAAATGGTTATTACCATGTCCCCACACATTGAAAATATCTTTTATGCTCTCTATATGTTACAAACGCCTCCCCCAATGTACAAAAAACTATCTTTTTACATGTACATATGGATATAGATATACAACACACAAATATATTCATATAAATCTCTCTCTCTCTCTCAACCTTGCCATCGCCAATGTTAACAACAACCACATCAAAAATCAGATCTTAAACGCTTCATGGAACTAGTTCTCTCTCACTTGTCTCTCTATGGTGCAGTTGAGGAACAATATCTACATGGTAGTGGTGCAAGCGGCGGCGATTGTAGTGTGTTGCAATTGGTGATGCTGTGTAGGTGGTAGTGATTGTAGTACAATGGAGTACGAGATGGTAGGAGTTCTTTGTTCAATATATCGACAGGCTTGTTGTGTTTGGGTTGCGATAGTGAGGGTTGTGGTGTCAGTCTGCGGTGTGTGTAGATTTATTTGTGGTGATCTTCTATGACCAAATCTGTATTTGTTGTGACCAATTGTAATTGTATGTGATAAGTGTATTAATACACTTATTCGGAGCCTAAAATATCGAAAATATATCCTAAATTATTGTATTTTATGTTACATAGGTAAAACCCAATGGTTGAACGAATAATTGAAAGAAATAAGCGAGAATTTGTAGAAAAAGTGAAATCTAAAGTATGGGGACTAAATTTCAACATTTCAGTAATTGATTCAGACCATGAAAATAAAGATTGAAAATGTTATGGGTTTAATTGGATGCAGCTAGAAGTTAAACAATCAAAATTACAAGAGAAAATGACTTAAAAGAATAAAGAATCGAATTCGAAAACCAAAACGCAAAGTTTAAAAGATGTATGATTGAGCGATTGCCCAACCATAAATCTGGGTTGTCTGAAGAAATCAAAAACAATAACTTCAAATTTGGCTTGGGTGAGTGCCTGAATTTTGCCTAGACAATTAATCTAGGATCATGGCCAATTTTCTTTTTCATTTTCAAATGAACAAAATTCACAATTTTGTGAGAGAATTGAATGAGATTTGCAAGAATTTAATATTCAAAATTAATTTTTGGGCGAAGAAGAGAATGGACAAGTGGATATTCATCAAAAAATCATTGAAAATATTCAATATCTCAAGATTCAATTTCATCTTCTTAATTTATTAAGAAACCGGCTTATATCTTTCTACTTAAATATGATTTCCTGTAATTTTGCTATGTTATGCCAGTTATTTAATTGTTAGGATGAGACGAAT